TTTTTTTGTTAAATTCGAGCGCTAACGTAACAGTTCTAAACGTAAAGTGCAGATTTTAACCGACTGATGACTTTATTACGTTTGTAGACTAAGATGTTGTATTGTTTAAAACGATTTGCCTCACCAATTGTAAAAAAAATATCTACATGACTAATACATATGTGCTTATTTACCTAAGTTGTTATCATTTATTAAATTCAAAGAAACTATGCCAGCTAGGCTACGTCGATTTGTGATGTAATCTGACGAAGACTGTTAACAAGCCAAATGGCAACTGCCAATAAAATAGATCGGTTGATACTGAACGAGCTTGCCTAGTGTTTCACCTTTTCTCCCCCACGATCTGACTTTGTGAGAGCACTGACGGAAAAAGGTGACCACAACCAACCACAGGTATGAGGGTCAAGGGAGCATACGCTCGCGTTGCACTGCCCCACGAGCGCTCGGCGCTCAGCTCAGCGTTCAACACTTACCAGTTTGCACACTCCGTTATGATCAACCCCTCTCGTTCCCTCAATCTTTTGGGGGCATTGTTTTGGGCGCCCCAATTTGAACTTGGCGGGGGCCTTGCGTGACGTAACGCAAAGGGAAGGAGAGAACAACATTCCGCCGGCATTAAAGAAAGTAGTTCCCAAGTTTTTCAGCGTAAAATTTGAGAGTTAACGAATTGTTTACTCGTCGTTTTTAGGCGAACCCTTCAATTAAAATAAAATGCATTTCAAAGAACGGGGAATACATATAACAAACCATTCCGAATCAAAAATACGGTGCCTTCCGGCGGAGGAGTACATTATTTTGGGCTGTGATGTGGCCAGGGAGTTGCGTTGCGCTGCCAGGCGCTGGTGCTGCGTCTGCGTGCTATCCTTGCCTGTGCCTGTGTGCGAAGTCATCAAGGCCTTGTTTAGCCAGTGATTTCAAGGTAGTTGTTCTCGGCCAGATCTCACATTCCGATAAATCAACCTCAAGCAAACCCCGCGGCGCAGACTCGGAAACTTATTAATTTTATTGGGTACGTGTCTTCGGCGGTCAAGTGACACAAGTGGCTCGTGTTTTAACAATGAGTGACTGTGGCCTAGGTTAGGCCTAAGAAGAGCATATCTCTGTACGACCCTACCGAAGTCCGAGTGTCAACCTGACACCGATTTCAACTTAATAGGCGATCTTGTTTGGCCGTATTGGCACCTAGCCACCGCACCCTTCGACGCTGCACCCCGTTGCTGGGCTCCCTAAAGCCGCGGTTTAGGCTCAACTTATCTGTCAGATTGGCTGCCCCTTGTGTATGTAAACGGTAGGACCGCAGCCAAGTATTGTGTAGTCAGCTGATAGAACGCCCGTTCTACCCGGACCAGTGTTCGATGCTTGCCTTCCAGTGCCATCCCTGTGGCTTTGTCTGCTACTCCATCTCGGTGTCTCAAAAGGATTACCTAGTGTATGAGGTGTTGACCCAGAAAGTTCATGTTCAGTCGGTGGTCTTGTTTACAGCAGGCTAGTCTCATCTGAGTGCACCTGTGCGCGACCGTGGTACATGTTAGAAACACTTCAAATGAAACCCATTCTAGTAACATTTTCCGCCAAATTAATTTTACGTCTCGCCTTTTGATCTGAGGGGTACAACTGAATTCATTGATGAGTCATCTTTGTTTGTGGTTGTCTACATGGAAGTGCATTTCTTGGTTGGAGTGCATGGTAACAACAATACTGGTGATCTTTGATATTTGTCACTCGTTGTTTTGAGAGGAATATTTCTATCAATGAGCAGATAACCTATTCCCAGGTGTTCCTGCCTTTTATTGTATCCATAGTTCATTGTTTCTTTTCGTTTTTGAAAAAAAAAAAGTCATTCACATTTGCTTTGTTTATTACTTAGATCATTTGGCATAAGATTTAGAAATACATTTTATGACTTCTGTTTTTTCATGTCCCTACAAATATAATTTGAAAACAATCATGGAAATGATACTAGAAATTGTGTGTCTTGTCCCAAGTACTTAAGGAATCTCGAGGTGTCGACAGATTGATTTCTCAAGGGGAATAAAAGGTGAAAACTATAAAATTTGCATTCCTACTTGTGGATCCTAGTATTTTATGGTTTTGCACTTTAAATCCTAGTTAGTCAATGAAATTAATTGCAAATAATTTCAACAAAGATTGGGAAACCCTGCTATTTTCAACTTAACTATTCTTGTGCAAAATATTTTGGGCTGCAGTGTGTAAAATTTGTTTGCACGTTCCTACTAACAAGAAGTCAAGAGTCTCTCCGTTAAGCCTTATACAAACGCCCTCATGTGTTGAAAAAAGTAACATCTGGGAAAGATTTGTCTGGTTTGTGAGTGTTGGAGTTCTTTCCAATCTAACACTTTTCTGTAATTTTTTTTCTCAGGGTAAATCATGGCAAACCGTGGTGGTGCAGCCCAGAGACCAAACAGCCAGACGCAAGGCAAAATATGCCAATTTAAATTGGTCCTCCTGGGAGAATCCGCTGTGGGAAAATCAAGTTTAGTATTAAGGTTTGTCAAAGGTCAATTTCATGAATACCAGGAAAGCACAATAGGAGGTATGTATTCCACACTGTAAAGCTTTGCGAGCTCCCAACAGTTTTATGTAAGCTATCATTATTTAATTTTTCTAATGCTTTAGCTGCCTTTCTTACACAAACTGTGTGCCTTGAGGACACGACGGTTAAGTTTGAAATTTGGGATACTGCGGGGCAAGAAAGATATCATAGTTTGGCACCCATGTACTACCGTGGTGCTCAAGCAGCCATTATTGTTTATGACATCACTAATATGGTAATTTACTCTTGTATCTTCTCTCTATCACTTTTATGGAGTACATCATCGAACCCTTTTTTATTTTAACATGTCTCTCTGTCCCATAGGACTCATTTGGGCGTGCTAAGGTTTGGGTCAAAGAACTGCAAAGACAGGCATCACCGAATATTGTAATTGCTTTAGCCGGCAATAAGGCAGATCTTGCCAACTCTCGAGCTGTTGAATGTGATGAGGCTCAAGCATATGCAGATGAAAATGGTCTTCTGTTTATGGAGACTTCGGCTAAAACTGCCAAGAATGTAAATGAGATCTTCCTTGCAATTGGTAAGTTTGATAACTCCTTCAATTCTCAGGTTCTCTTTTAGCCCAGTTCCGAGTCTTGGAAATACCTACAACACTTAATAAATATTTCAATCACACAGCAAAGAAGCTTCCCAAAAATGAACAAGTGTCTGGGGCTGGCTCTGCCAATCAAGGCCGACGTTTAGTGGAGTCTGATAGCTCTGCAAAGACAGCAGGCAACTGCTGCAAGTGATTTTGGGCTGCATGCTTAAGACAAGTCACACTTTTTGCCAGTTTTATAAGGTTGGTTATGATCCTTGTTTAGTTTTCCCCTGAGCTATCAGATGTTATTGAAATGTTTTATCATTTTACTCTTGTTTTCAAGGTATGTTCTGTGGGAACAGGCTAGTGGGACACTTTTCTTGGCCGCTTGCTCAGTTCGGAACAAATTAAGGAAAGGAACAATGACTGACACAAGAATTCCAATCAATGGCCATGTGAATAAGTGTAGGCCTGATCCGCCGTTGCCCTCCGCCGCTGCCTTTAATATGTTACCTAATGGTGACCCATCATTCAGTTCAAAGAGAGACTGGCTTAAGTGCCAAGAGCAATTTTCTAGTGCAATTTTTTTCTGTGTACTGTGTGAATAGTGGTGTTGCGGATAGCAAGAATTAATTTACCGTACTCATTTTATGTTAAAATTGTGGAAAATTTAATGATTGGAATAGGTTTGGAGAATTCTAGGTATTTTTTAACGTGATTGGTAACGTTTATAACTCTGTAACTATCAGAGTTGTAGTCAACGCAGACATAAGTCATTATTGAATATTTTAATGTGCACTCTGAAGATAACTGGCAGTGATACAGATTTATTGTACTTGGCACTTGCGCTGTCCATTGTATATTACTACCAAAACATGCAAATAAGTGGAATTATGATGCGATGACCCTGCATTTCCTTATGAAGTGATGTTATTTTGATACATGCATCTTAGTTTCTCTTGCAGAGATTTGAGATTCTCTCAAGTGTTACTGTGATGATACCCTTTTTTCATACTTTATTGGTTTTTAATTTATTGTTATTGGAATAGTGAGTGAATTGAGTTGACTGTGGATATAATTTAGTCTGGAGTAAGCAGGGGTTGAGTTTGTGATTTATTGATCAACAGTGTCCTCTGTACATTAATGTTCTACCAGACATTGCAGCTTTTGTTGATAGAGTTGACAAGCTGCTGTAGTACTATGTGTAAGAATTCATTTGCACCAGACATCAATGAAGCTAGCTGATCAACTGATGACAAAACATTCATCTAGGCTTTTTAATGTTTTGCACTGTCCTAATTTTAAACAAGATATGCTGTTTGGATCAGTAACAGCACTGAACTGTTGACTATGTCTTGGTGGGAATGAAATTGCTTCTGCATGTAGTGCTGCCAAAATTCCAAAAGAGCTTCTCCACCTAAATTTTATCACAATGTTGCATTTGATGTCTTAATTTTCACTTTGATTTATTCCGCGGATATGAAAGGTTACATTCTTGTGAATTTGAATGCGTGAGATTTTGAGATTTATACGTGCAAATATATATATATGAAACACATATATATATATATATAAATATTATATATTATTCATAGATGAAAGATCCTTGATTCCATTCCCTTTTGCTGACCCATGCAGTTGTATCAAATTTCTGTTCTGTAAGAAGACCAAATTACAAATTTGCTTATGTCTTATATGTGGCTGGTTGCACCAATGTGAGTCAAAGCCTCAGGAGATACTTTTATTCAGGTTCCTTTTCTGTTGTGAGTGAACAACGTCTTTAAAGTTTTGGCATTTTAAAAAATGCTGTTATTTCTCCCACCCTATTTGCAGCACTTTTTCCATTGTCTTTTTATATTGTCTTTGGTTCATTGTTATGTGAGTAGACCAGAATCTGCAGGACAGATTGGTATCTTCTCTTCACCATGCTCCTAATTTTAATTCTTGTCAAAGCAGCCTTACTTGGTAATTTTTATTCCTGTGTACCCTTTTTCTTGTGTATCATATCAGACAGGATAATTCATAAACCACTTTTGTTCTTTTTTAGATGTACAAATTAGTATTATGGTGGATGTACAGTTTTATCGGTTCTTTACATGTTATAAAAATTCAAAATAAACTGTCTCATGAAGGCTCTGACAGAAGTGATGTATTATATTTAATGGAAAGCTTGCTTATCTTCTGTCTGCACAGAAATTTAGATTGTACAGGTATACAAATAAAGTTATGATGTATGTAAATTCCTTTTTAAGAAAACTCCTCCTACCATGACAAATTCTGAAGTTTGAACTTATGTTTTCTTTCCTGTGGTGTTTGTTCGAGTTGTCAACTAAGCAAGGATTACAACACATTGGTTAGATGCAATCTTTAATGTTGTGCAAGGATAACACTAGAGACTGACAAGCACCACAATATTACAATTTTTTATCAAAGAAATCTAATACAGTCTTATGTGAACTGCATTGTTTTCACAGCTCCACTAAAAAAAACTCAATTTAAAAATTTGGCTGCTTTAAAACCAAAGAAGTAAACGTCATATTTCATCAGGAAAACACACGCAAAATAAAACTTCTGAACTTTAGACCATAGAGGCCAATCTTTGACCAATTATGAAATGAGATAATCCTTCGGCAAAACCGTAGTTGGTATACATAGTTGTAAAATATTTAAGAGAAAATAATAGATACACAAAAACAAGAGGCAAAATAACAGCATTCTCTGAAAAAAAGAAACAAAAACAGCAGGTATAAGCATAATTATTAAAATTGTTCAAAAGATTCAAAAATGAAAAATTCAGTATAATACAACTTTATAAAACAAACAAGGGATGATTAAAATAGACTAGCCCAATTACACACAATATACTATGACACATGTCATAACTGCCTGAAGCCCTTTGGAAGCTAAGTAAAAGAAAATCTTGTTTGTCATGGAGAACAAGGTAGCTACTCTTACTACACTATATCTCCTTATCATTGTTTTATTAATTAAGTTATCTTTGAAAGTATATATTTCTATGGCAATAGAAAAATAAAGCTTCTGCTTTACTCATACGGAAGCTCTGAGCAACATTTAAAATAATGCTTTCAACAAATTGAGTTTTTGAGGGCCATCTGATCAAAGGAAACATGTAGGTATTTACCACCGAATCAAGAGTTAGCAACAGCGTACTACTATCTGGTACAGTATTAAGCTTACTCTACAGGACTTTACATTAAACAAACAAGGAAAACAATTTAGGAGATTTTATTTTATCAACAGAGAAAGGTACTAAAACCTACTGGACCTAACACTTAATTGTCCAATAATAGAACAAACTTTATTTTTTAAAAGATAAGTGTATGAAATTTAAAAAGACAATAGATACAAATTTTCAGTTCTTAACTGAGAGTATACAGTTTTGGAAAATTAAATACACCTAAAACAATGCTGAAATTAGTAACTGTTCCAGATTTGGACTTAAGTATTACTCGTGTGTTATGTTACTTGTTACAGATTTTTTATTTTTATTTTGCTGAGAAACAGCATTGGTTCAAATTATCACTTAAGAGTTAACAAAAGTCAAGGTGAATAATGAAAATGTCTTTCATGAAATAATAAATAGGTAGGGAACACACCAGTCAATTTGTTTAGGTTCACAAATCTTAAAAGATCAATTAAAAACATTCCTGAAGCAGGAAATACAATCAGACAACATCAGTCTGCTTAGTAGACCAGTACTAATAACTGTACTAGATGACATCTTTAGAGGCAAACCTACACAAGGAAAAGACCTTGACTTGAGTACCTAAAAGATGTCTACTAATAGATAAAATCTCCTCTTCTTAAACTCTCTACAGTCTGATGTAAGCTTTGGTACAAACCAAAGGAACAGTCAAGTCAATTTCATCTCCAAAAACACTAAACATCTTATGATACTGGGCACATGATGGAAGTCTGACTGTGCAAAAGCACTGCATTATACTTAGCATAAGAAAGAATGGAATGAAAGGTTCATAAAACGAGACATTCACCTTGGTTACAGGCAAGACGCAAACATGACTGCATCATATTGGTACAAACAGATCATACAGAGAATTTTCTATTATCAGGCTATGGTCTGGTAAGAGACTTAAAAAGAAATAAAAATCTGTTCTCAAGTCAAAAAAAAAAAAAGCCTGTTGATCATCTAACACAGCCACTTTCTAGGTATATAAAGTGAAGTGGAAACTACAATTCATATTACATAATTAACAATCCAATTATAAATCATCGTCGGTTACCAAAATTTTCACTGAGCAGCTGCATTGATTAGGACCGTGCGGTCAATGATGCCGAGGCCAAGTGGTGTGTGAAAAATATACTGCCTCACTGAGAAATTAAAACAAAATACAACACCTAGCAAGCACCATCACAAATCACGACAAAATGGCAACACTGCGTCTGGAAGGTTGTCCATTAAGAGTCTCAAAGCTTCTCCACTTCTTCAAACCATTGCGAACTGCCTCAGCAGTTATTTTATCTTCACAAACCCGGGACATAGCCTCCAATCTTTGAGCTCTTTCCCGACTGAGAGGTTCACTTGGGAATGCAAGGTCGTTGTCTTCGGCCAATGTACGTAGATCAAAGTAATATTTTGCATACACACTTGACGGAACATTGATATTGAACTGAAGCATTTCAAGAAATTGTCGTTCTAATTCATTCCTGTTAAAACAATAATAGTTCTTAGGTCTAATCTCATAATTTACAAGCAGAAATATTGCAAATGCACTCACATGTCTTCCACAGTGATGTCTCTCAAAATTTGGCAGTAGTCCACATTCCAAACTGCTTGATCATCCCACACTTTGGATGCTAGAAGAATAGCTCCTAACACAATTCTTTTCCAATTTGCAGGAGAAATATCCACTTCAGCATAAGTTAGAAGCCTGGACAAAAGAGGAAACACCGAAGGTAATCTAGTAATAAGAAATGTAATGGCAGAATTTCTAAGAAATCAAATGTATTTTGTACCTTTCAAGATAGACTAGTGTGATAATGGCACACTCAGCAGTCAGTTGTGAAGCATTAAACAGAGTGCGAACAAATTTATAAATGTGTCTATGCTCAGGATTGTGCTGGTCATAATCATCAGGAACAGGTGCTTGCTGCAGGAAAATGACTATAAGACTGAGTACTGACAAAAAATAACAAATTGATTGAAATATAATTTGGAGCATAAGTGGCTTACAGTTAAAGGGTGTAATTTCTCATCAAAAATGTCTATCTGACGATTTGATGTGCGATGTTTGATGTGGTAATATATTGCTAATGAGACACATTTCACAGTATTCTTTAAGTTGGGTTGAGAAACAGTACTATCATCCAAATATATTGTTGAACAAGAACTACTCTTCTTCAACCCGGGTCTACCAGTGTCCAATATCTGAAACAAAAATAGTATATTGACACTAGTTTTTCTAGAGTTAAGTGGATAAGAACTATTAGTATTTTGAAACAAAAAATAAACTCACATGATTTTGACTCTTTTTTCTCACAAGACCATCTACAATAAAAAAAAGAAGAGGAATGGTAAGAAATATCTTTTAAGAGTGCATAAAAAGGTGGAGGAGTAACTACTTACTCTCTTGTATACGTGACCGCTCTAAAAATATAGTGGATGCCGTTGGGTGGAGGGAAGGATCTGCATCCCAATCTTCTGGCTCTCGCTCTGAAATGTGCTGAATGTTCCCAACACTGCCCTCCCCTTCACGAGGCATATGAGGTTCTTCTTGATAAACATCTTTACGTTTGGGAGCTGGACTTGAGTATGAACAGCAGCTGTTCTTATTACCCATAATATCTAGTGCTTCCTTTACAGAGATACACTGAACATTTTTTAAAACCTTTTTCAGTTTCTCACACAGTTAATGTTTGTTTTATTTTCAATCATGAATGACTATAAAAGGTATACACTGGTGCTTTGAAGAGCTAAAGTTGACTCATTCTTAATTTGGACTTGTGAAACTGGGGAGTTTCACCCAGCGATAGTTGTTGCTAACAGACAAGACTATCATGTAAGGTAAGGCTGACATGCCTTAAAAGTCCTGATTCCTGAAACAAAGAAAGTAATAAACTCATTAATTTAGATGTTAAGGTGAAACATAGTGGTGGAGCTGTAAACTTTGTTTGATAATCATCCGCAAGAGCCAAGTGGCACAATAAGTAAGAAATTCTGAAGTTGACAGTAGTAAAAATGATTACGCCCACGAATTTTTGAGTCAGTTGTTTCTATGTGATTTGACCAGGAGACGGTAAATACAAATCTGACATTAGAATGAGGTTAAAACTCGTCACCACTTTCGATAACACGTACTTTCAGTGAAAAAGTGAGTTGGTTTTACAGTCCTACTGTGTACGTGAATAATTTATATCACCGTACATTAAAAGGAAACAAATTACTATAAACCTTAAAATTGTTTAAAATAAAAATACACTGCCGGTTGCGACGGCCTAGGCTAGTGTCAGCCTTGGTCCGCCCCCGGAATACACCGGCGTATTTGCTGTGCAGCCAATGTAACTTCGGCGTCTATACAACTTAAGAAGGGATGAAATAGTTACCAGAATACAGTTTGCCCCTCAGAAATAATCAGTCAGCATGATTTTTTGTTTGTGATAAACATTTCGGGTTTCTGCTATCGGGATGATCTGTGAAGATAGATCCCATAACCGGAAGTAAATACATTTTTGTACAACTCTAGAAACAAAATACTCCAACACTCTCAGCCTTGTTTTCTGAAAGTTTTGTAGCCTGTCAGTATTTATACTCCTATTTGGTTCGTTACTTATGTTTTCTAACTATTTGATACCGGTTTCACATGAACTTCACGAAAATGATGCGTATTCATTTTTTTATTGTTGCCTTTCTGAGTATGTAGGTGTTTCCTAACTTTGCCACTTTCGCAGGGTGAAAACGGCTGTAGACTTATTCAATTTCGTGATCCCACATCCAGATCGTTTTGCACTTACCCCCTCCTCAACGCTGGACGAGGTTAAAAAAAAAGTATGGTTAAATGTCGAACATAATGTGACTTTTTCTCTTTGACATAAGTCGATACATAGAATTTCTTTTGATGAGGAAAATTGCAACACCGATAACCAATGGAACCTTAACTTGTTCCAAAGCCTTCCGCTGCAAGGTTGATGGGACCGAGCCGAGCCGAAGGCCGAAGAGTGTTCAGTTGTATTTCTAACTTGGATCTCTGTCTTCAGTTGTACATTCATAGTGCTTTCTGTATGATATAGTAACCAAATCAAAACATTTGTCTTACGTGATTTGCTGTCGATTGCGACGTACAATCGGTTGCCTTCTTTATTAGTTAGAATTCTTGCTTCAGGTACATTGCAAAGGCAACAACTTTCCGATTCTTTAAGTGGAGGGGTTCGGAGTTGATGCTCCAGATTGACTCGTCTCCACGTCCTTGTCATGTATCCCAGTACAGCTTTCTATGAACATTTTTTTGTGATGGATGTTTTGTTGCCTTTTAAATGATTAAAAATATAATATTAATTAATTTTTGAGTGTTCTGTTGTTTAAGAACTGATTTGCATTTTCATTTGGCATTTCCATTTTTTGTTTCCTTCCTAAATGCACTTGAGTGCGCTGATATTCCTTTAAATTTAGCTCTTATTATTTTAACTGTTTGTGTTGGGGCAAATTAAGGATTTTAGCTTGGAATTTCCTTTTCTTGTAATCTTGATCTTCCATCTTTCATGCACTTTTTAACTTCATTTTACCAGAGATTTATTTATTTTACTTAATATTGTGTAGGTTATACAAATAAGCTGCAGTCGATGAAGTGGCACAACTATCTTTTTCACTTTTATACTTAAAAGTTGTATGATTTAGTATTGTCTCTCACATTTAAAATGTTTAAATTTCAGATTCAAATTTGAATATGCCCAACGGTAAAAGTATTACTGCTACTTCGCGGCTCCAACAAGACTATGTCAGACTCAAGAAGGATCCAGTCCCTTACATTGTGGCAGAGCCCTTGCCCAGTAACATTTGTGAATGGTAATATCAGGCACTGCAAAGTTTTGACCATTTAGAATGTTGTGTAGTAATTTTAATACCATATCTGTATTTTCTAGGCATTATGTGGTTCTTGGACCAGAAGGCACACCTTATGTAGGAGGCTTATACCATGGAAAACTTGTGTTTCCTCGTCAGTTTCCATTTAAGCCCCCAAGCATTTACATGATTACTCCTAATGGAAGGTCAGAGTTAATCACTAATTCAAATGTCATATTAAGTTTGCCATTTTAGTTGTGTGATGTAACCTGAAGTATCATTTGACTTTCAATCTACATCACTTCCTTGCCAATGGCCTTCTAAAATCAGTCCAGGGTTTTGTTGAATAAACTCTTTTTAACCTTATTTTCAGATTTAAGACCAATACACGCCTCTGTTTATCAATTAGTGATTATCATCCAGACACCTGGAATCCGGCTTGGAGTGTATCCACAATTCTTACTGGCCTTTTGAGCTTCATGGTTTGTATAATATTTATAAGTATGAGGTCTTCAAAATAACTTGAAAACTTTCTGCAAGTATTGGAAATATTGTTTTCTACAATTTGACCAGGTGGAGAATACCCCCACTTTGGGTAGCTTGGAAACATCAGACATTGAAAAACAGCAATTAGCCCATAAGAGTTTGGAGTTTAACATCAATGACAGTATCTTCTGTGAACTCTTCCCAGATTTAGCTACAGTAAGTACGTCAATGTAATAAAAGAAAAAAAAGTTTAAAAGAACATCCTGTTAACTTTATTCTGAACTGACAATCAATATTTTTTCTTAGTTTGTTTCTGTTTTAAGTTTTCTATATTTAATCTAATCTTAGCTTTGTTTTTTTCCAGAATGTCCGAGCTGAACTGTCAAGACGAGCTGAACTCGAACATGAGTTACGAAATGTGGAAGCAGATTCAGAAAGGAATGATAGCTCAAGTACTCTCACTGACAATCACAATGGAGCAGTTGGTGGGCAATCAGCTCTGCACAGTGCCATGAGTAACCTATTTGTTCTCGTAGGTTTTGCTGCTTTTGCATACATAGTGAAGTATGTTGTGAAAGGTCTCAAAACTGACTAAGAGTATATATTTCCTATATCTTCCCACTCTGTGATCAATTTTGTGAAGAGCAAAAGTATGGCAGTAAGTTGCTTATATTTTGCATCTTTCCAAATGTATGACCATTGTTCAGTCATTGCTGTCTTAGAACGCTCTAGAAAAACTGTGGAGTCTTTATTGTGTAGGTGTATTATCTACCTAACAAGATAACTAATTTTTCTTTGGTGGATGCTGGCTACACTAGACTTGCAGCAAGTACCTGTTGTGTATCCAGAATTACAGGGCTCCAATTTAATTATAGAATTTCTTTTCATGAGTATTTGGTCGTTGGCAACATAATCATCTTCCATAGTATTCTATCTTGAAATTGATACTGATTTTCAAAGATGTGAGTGCCTCTGTTTATAGGCTACAAACAATAATATATTAACAGAAGAAACAGATGTTTTGAACCTTTTTGATGTGTGTGTGTGTGTCTGCCTGTGTGTGTTTGTGTTTCTAATGAAAAATTCAATTCTACTACCTATTATTATTATTTTAGCATTATTTAACATTCCATAGTCACATCCGAAGTAAACTCTGCCTGTTTATAGTATTTGATGAACCCAACTTTCAGTTCTGTCTTGTTTACTGTTCTTTATTAAGATCTGAATCCTACTTAATTCATTCATTGACTCTTTTTCGGGATATTTTTCTAGCCAGGTGTTGCTATGTTATTAAAATTTTGTTGAATTACTCTGACTCAGGTCAACAAGACAGCATTGGACATGTTTCATATTTATCTTAAATTTCAATGACTTTAGAAGAAAAACTGGAAGTAATTGGGAAAAACAGTATATAGTATTATTATGAATGCTATATGTGGATGACCACGAGTAAAAGGGAGAGTCTGTCTGATTCCCACTGATTTTTGTAATGTTTCAAATATTAGAATGCCCTTTCATTACAAGCTAATGATCAGCTTCTAGTTTGTTTTTTATCCTGTATATAATTTTTGATAAATTGATAGTGTATTTAAGAGCTTACTGTTCTTTAAGATCCTTTTACACCTAAGAAAGTGTATTGTACAGTTAAATATATTTTTTGACGCCTGTGATTTGGTAGGACAATGTGTGATAGGATGTGTGGTGAATATTTGACTATTATTTTTCTTTGAGGGGTTATTTTGAATGTATGAATATTTCTACTCTCTACGATTAATTTGTATGTACAGTTCAATGTAAGATGTGCTTATTGATGGAAAGTATCGGTTACTCATGAGGATCATTATGCTATTTTTTAATCTGAAAGTTGTGGCCCAGGTGAGTGTTTTTTGAGCAAGGAAGAAACTGTGCTGTAAAGAGTTTGTTTAGTGGATTTTTATGCATTTCCTCTAGTCAACATGTGGATAGGTGTTTTATTTCAAACAGTTTTGAATATGTTGCATTTTTGTAGAGCCTGCAACTTGATTTTGTGAGGTTCTTATTTGTGACAAGGTTGCAGTATAAGATATCCCTGGATTTGGACAAAAACTTTTAATTTGCTTCACTTTATATTATGACCAATTTGGATTTAAGTACCATGTGAAATGTGTAATGTAATTACGCAGAAAGCTTGGGTGCTTCAAAGTGTGACTGTTCCTTTTCCATATCAATGCCTGATTGTATATTCTGAAAAATTGAAGCATGGATCCACTCAATTCATAGATAAATCTTTTCAATTTATATTACCTCAAATGTTTTGTTTTCAAAAATTGTCACTTTTCAAGATCCTTTAAAAAGAAAATGTAATCAAAACTTGCTGGAAGTCAGTTGTGTGGGAAGGGGAGGAACTTAATTATGAACTTCAAATTTGGCTGTTGATTTAATTACATGTTTTTAGACATGTTTGTTTATTAAGTACCTATAATAAAATTAAAAGTAGTTAACAGACTGTGAAATGTTCTTCTATTTATGAAGAATGTCTTCCCACATTTTCCAATCGTTCAATCCATCCATGTAACCCTAATGCTTTCCTCATTGGGGACAAGAGGAGAGGAAGAGCCAAAATTTATCCATGACATGAGAACTTTTAGTGTTCAAGGTAGTCTGTCATTACACAACTGATTACCTAGAAAATTTTTCCTTTTTTGCATCAAGACCAAGCAATCACTTTCCTTTACCAGAAAGCTGCCCTTTACCTGCAGCATCAGAAAAGATATTTTTATAAGAAGGAATTAGTGAGGCTACTTACTAAATGAAAAGCTCAACATTAATTTCAAGCAGGGGAATTGGTTTATTATAACAAACTCATACCTCTCACCCTTACATTAATTCACAGCCATAAATTAATTGGACCTCTCTATATAGTGCACACATTCTACATGGCACACTTGGGTTGCATCTTGAAGTAAAAATTTATATGTGCTTGAAAAGGGTAACTGTACTGATGATTCCTAAAGCCCAAACGCACTGCTGCAGAATTAAATGTTATTACTGACAAAACCCCAGTACTTCCAAATTATAAACAAACAAACAGCAAGTTCTAAAAGAAGAAAAAAGCATTTTTAAGCTTGGTTAATCCACTGGAGAGCATCCCGAACCACCGACAGCTTGATTCGTCTCAAAAAGCTTTCAACCAAATTATATTCTGGAGAAGCATGTCCAAGATCAGAATTAAACTCCGCCTTGAATAGCGGTTCACCCTCATCAGACATGAATTTCGCAGAGCTTATTCTTCGTCCTTCAGACACAACTTTGGTAGTAAGGCAGAACAACCACTGTAGAATCTGCAACAAAATAAGAAGCTTGACTGCCTTTCTGAATAAAAGCACAACATTTTGCAAATGAGCAAGCTTTACAATGGTACCTCAGAACTACTTGGAAGAGTGGTCTTCTTTCCGAACTGAATCCAAGAACTTGGAGCCCACAAATATAATTGACATACGGTAGCAGCAAGTTCAGCAGTAATACGCTGAAAAATAAAATATGCTTTTGCAAACATAGCAGTAGGGGAATGGCGCTTGCGAGTTGCAGCCGCTGGTAGCGCTAGCGGTATAGGAGATCATCTCTTGCTTCGAAAGCGGAGTTCCCCCATTGAAATACATGGGGAACAGAACAGAAACTTGAGTGTGCTTGAATTTTATTGGAAAGAATAAACACGCAAGTACTTTCTGAAGAGGAGAAACGGTGGAAATGAGTGAACATGAGAAGCAGGTTTCATTCCGGCCACATACCCCTGGATTAAATATTGGCCCCAACGTTTTATCTACTTGATCGCTAGAGCACTTTACCCCACGCTTCTCTTATCGCCATCAATGACCCCAATAAGACATTTTAAAACAAAGAGTCAAGGATTGGAAAGCACAAGAAGATTGAAAAGTTAAGAAAGAAGTAACATTTGATCAAGCAATAAAACATTTTTCAGTTCATGACAGATACATAGCTATTAAACACTTACTCTGGATGGGTTGCGCATTAACATTTCCATCACAAGCTTTGAAATGATGGATGGAACAGTTTCTGGAAAAGGAGGAAGCTCTGATTCGGTGTAAGTGGCTGACAGTAAAAATTTGGTTCCTGTGCCACTAAGGCCTTGATTATTGCTTATCCTATGGAAAGGGTTGTCCATTCCAAACAGCTGGTAAGCTAAAGTTCCAACAGCCCAAACATCTGCCTTATTGTAGTTGATATATGTGAAAGGGCCAGGTTCAGCACATGCAACCTACAAATAAAAATACATTGAAACAGCAGATCCGCCACAACTCTCATCAAACTAATTGGGAAAATTTAAATTAAATACCTCTGGGGCCATAAGAGCAGCATTGCCACCTTTGTCTGTATCGGGTGTAGTGTAGTGTAAACTCAAACCATACACTTGGTCAGCTAAGCAGCATCCAAAATCAGTTACAGCTAAAGTAGGGCACATGGTATCACTTTCATCTAAATCAAGCAGAATATTGTCTGCTTTTAGGTCTCTAGAAATCATAAAAATGAGATAAACACAAATCATTAAAATTAGTAAATCACCAGTAATTGTACTTACCGATGAGCAACTCCATTGGAAACCATATGAGTAACTGCTTCAAGTAATTGAGTTAACAACATGATGGCTATTTTGGTATTTGGGGGATGTTGGCATAAGAAATCCTTTAAACTCATATCATACCTATAGACATTACAAATTTGACAACAAATCAACAATCAGCTTGACTGAACTTAGTTCTTGGCTTAGCAAATGTTTTAATGGCTTTACCTTTTCATGACAAGGAAGAGACTCATATTCCTACCAAAACCATTGGGGTTGATGCGTGCTGGTAAGGCGTCCGGATATAATGAGAGTGACCCTGGCAGTGCCTGCACACTGTCTGTGAATGCATTATAAATTCTAACAATATTGGGATGTTGTGGTAGAGCCCTGCAACGTTGGCGGAAGCTGAAACCAAACAACAGCATTCATATGATTTCTTTCTTAGATATAAATAGTATGTTTTTAGAA